TATCTGTTTTTAGGGGTTTCTCTTTCCGAAAGAAACCATATTTCATCTTAGCGGATAGCTCTCTCGTAAGCAAGGGTTAAAATAATCACATGTAGATAGTCGTGGGATGAGCCTTTAAGTCAGCTATATGCACCGTAAGACTTCCTGGACCGCTTCATTATCCTGTTGCAACCCGGACGCAGGAGCTTTATGTGCTTGCTTTTTTTTAGAAAACAATTCGGCTAAGACACAATTTAGAATAGTTAATGGAGCTTCTCATACAGGAGGCTGGAGCCATTTCGATCGTTTCTGTAGACAAAATCAACTTCAATCCAAAGACTTTACTATCGATTTCAATTACATTGATGAGCAGTAATACAATTAGAATTAGCATGTTATCATGTAGTTGAAGTATTCGGACGATTTTAAGTTGAAAACAGTTGGAGAGCTTTTGAGTAGTTTTGCTCTCATTTTTCTACTTCTCTTCAGTTTTTTCACGCTCACGTTGCTTTGCTTCCACCTTCTTGTTATAGCGTTTAATCATAGACACGTAGCTCTCCATATAATCATTAAATTTAGCATCCCTTGAAATTGCGTTGTCCTGAAATATTGACAGCTGGATTTTTAAACATTGAAGCAACAACCCCCAGAACCTTTTGAATAATCTATACCGTGGGTAGGACAGAGCAGCCCGCGAGTATCACAGATGTGCCTTTGTCGCGACGAAAAAGTGCGCTACAATAGTGCCAGGGCCTTATGAAGTGAGCTAATGGACGAGATACCTCGAGCGCACCCCATGACATACAACGTGGATTACGACGTAGCGGCTAATTCAAATACGCGCGGGTTAGTGGAGCCATGGAGCAAGCAAGTTCAGACAACTCGTCCGGACACGCCCCTCCTCATTTCAAGGGAAGAGAGGGAGTTCTTGTTCAAGGCTTCATCGGCGGTTTGCTTTGCTTCTTTTTCATTTTCAGTCAACTGGCATCCACAGTTTCGTTATCCACTACTACGTACCAGTTTGATCTGGGATTGTTGTTTTAAGCAAGGAGTCATTCCAGCCCAGCGTTAAGATGTGCCACTTTTCAACTACATCTTTTCAAAATCCGGATTTTTCCACTAATGGGTATCAGTCCGCTTCACGCCTTTCCATGGTCGACTGATAAATCTGCTTCAGTTCACTTCCGGGGAGAAACGACGGGGAGCGGTTAAGTAACAGACCACAAGGCACCATTTCACCTCTCCTGCGGATTCCGTGGTCCATTGAAAGATGATAGACCACAACTTAGCGACCCATACTTCCGTATTTTTGGAACTTTTGTGATGAGAGGCGCATTTTCTGAGTGAAAGCCAGTCATATCGAAAAACCCTATGAGGAGCAAATTACCAGGGAAACTGATCAGCTGTGTCACTTCGGTGTGGTATGCTTAAGAGAAGTGCTGGCCCAACTGGTCTCTGAGCTGCTGCAGGTGTTGCGGCGGTCCGCTGCAGTGGTCCGGAGCAGAGTCAACCCTGCGTTGCGCAGTTCGCAACGGCACGTCGAGGCTCTTTCATGGGGGTGGTGATGGTCGTGACGCTTGGTGTTGAGTGCGGGGTCGGATGGGGGGCGACGGGGGTGTGGGCTGTTGCGCGAGGGGGGTACAGAACCGTGTCTAATCGCGGCGGAGGGCGCGCAAAGTGGCTGTTGAGAAACTACGAAGTCGTAGGGTTGACTCGTGGCGGCGGGGGGGGCGCACGCGGCTTGGCTTCTTTGCTGTGCTCCGGCCGTGATGCTCACTTGCATGCACCGGCGGCCTCTTCCTCATAAGTCAGCTCCGGTGGAGTCGTGTTGTGTGAGCGAGTGTTCAGCTAGTGTGATGTTTGTGTTGTTTGTGTGTGTGTTGTGTTTGTGGTGTGTGGTGTGATACATTCCAAATATTGCATTTGTTGGGCAGGGGGCAGGGATATTCTTCTCTTGTATCGTATGTAAAAAAACCTCAGGGAAGTTAGAGATGGGCTTTGACGCGGATCGCTGGCTACCATGCTCTTAATAAGCACCCGAGCGCATGGAACACGTCCTGCAGAGTGAGACCATGTCTTGGAGTTATTGATCAGGTTCCGGCGAGACCCTGGTCTTAACGTTCGGGCCATCTGAAAGGTTCCCAAGGCGGTTGCGATTTTCGACCTCACAGATGCGACATGTCATGGGAGTGTGTGTCAACAGATCGCGGAGCGTCAATGGGGGGGTGAGAGTAGAAGATGGGGCGCGCGTGGAGAAGGGTTGGTGAGTGCGAGTTCGTGTGAGTGTCTTCGTAGTGTTTGTGAGATAGTTGTGTGATATGATTTGAGGGCACCCTAATGTTGTGTGGAGTAGTGGTGTGTGTATTGTGTGTCGGCGAGTGCGTGTCGAAGGGTGATCGCGGAGTGGTCTAGCGGTGGGCGGTTGCAAAACCGTGTGTATTGTGTGTTTGGAGTTTGGGCGTGGTGGGTAGTGGAGGTGTGGGGTGACGTTGTGGGGGGTGGGCTGAGTTTCTTGTCTTTTTCTTAAAACGGACCAAGCCTTAGAAAAGGAGGATGAATTTTCGGGTGCGTGAGGAATGCTCATTTTCCCCGCCGTTGACGTCCCTTCCTGAGCTCAGTTCTATGGGATGCCCCCCCCTCTATATTGATAGCGCCCATGACTTCTATAAACTCACAGTGGCGAATATTTCCAGTACGCAAATATGAAGGAAGACGTATTGGATCGCCGACTGAATGGCCTGATATCGTTGATTACGCATGTCTCTGACGACGTCAACCATCGAAGCGTCTGCCTTCTCACGAACCTTCAGCGATGCGTAATCGATTGCTAAACGAAAGAATTATATCTGCCTTCCAAAAATTAGGAGACGTCGGGTGCAGACCATACACCACAAGTGACGACGGCCTTCCACAAAATGTAAATGTTTTCTGCCAATGAAATGATTAGCCTGTTGCAGTTGTATTCTATCAGTTGTCACTAATTACAACTATCATTTACCAAAATCAGCTATCACTATGAACAACTTCTAACCAGATTTACTTGGAGGCCGTCGTCAGTTGTGGTGTTTGGTCTGCACCCGACACTTTCTCGCTTTTTGAAAGGGGAGGTTGAGTGAATCAGCCATTTCACCACACATGACTGAGGAGGGTTAGTACGCGATAGCAGGTCTCTGCATGCATCCACTACCCTTCCCGTCTTTGCCCTCCCCACAGGCTCCCTTGTCATTCTGCGCTCTTCCTGCCTAGCAATGTATCATCTCACTGATGTCAACTTCCCCATGCAATCCCATACATTTAAGCTGCAACATCACTGCTTGCACAGATTAGCCATAAACATCGCCAGTGACATACACAACCAAAACTCTTAAGTACGCCTTCCAAGCGAACGCACCAACAAACGTTGCACTCCGCCCAATTCCAGCTGAGCAGTGTACCGTAATCGGGTTATGTGCAGCCAGTGATCGCGACAATTTCAGCATTCCAACAGTAGGTGCGGGATTCAACGGTGCCGTATGGTCAGGCCACTCGAAGTACGCCAGATGGTGGACGGTGCAGGTTTTGCCTTCTCTGAAAAATAAGAAGTTATAAATTTCGAAAATTTGTAATTCGCTTACTCCTACGGATAAGACCTGAGGCTAAGCGTGAGAGGAAGGGAATTGAGAAAATGAAGCGAGTATCAACGCGGTGCAAATGTGAGTAAATTTGCTTCATCTGTAGCGCGCTGCGGTGAACGAGGCAACCAGAAACGGCGCGACAGGCATCCTTCTTCCTCAAAGCAACAATCCCAGATGAGGTTGTGTCGAGCAATTATTCTGTGGTAGGATAGAGTAGCCCGCGAGTATCACAGTTGTGCCGTTGTCACAGTTTCGGTCTGCGACAATGGCGCTAGAGTCTTACAAAGTGAGCTAGTGACGGCTAATGTGAGCTATTGGACGAGACACCTCGCGCCCACCTCGTGATACGGTGGCTTATGACGTGGCAGCTACTCCGAATACGCATGGATTAGCGAAGCCGTAGAGTAAGTGAGACAACTCGTCCAGACGCAACCTTTCCCTCATCTTGAGGGGGAGAAAGGAGTTCTTGTTGGTTTCTTCGGCAATTTGCTTCGCTTCTTTTTTCACTAGTCGATTCGGCTTTCATGTTTTCATTTTCGACCGCTGGTATCCAACCAAGTTCTGCGGTTGTTGTATCAGAAGCAAAAAGATCAAGCTCAGCCTCACTGAAGAAGTCCTCCAATGAATAGAGGTGCTAGGTCCACAACGGTAGTGGCCGCGCCACTTTCGCGCCTCTGAACGCGTCAGAAATGCAGGGCCCTAGGCTTCGGTGTGGGATCCTTAAATGCCAAAAAGGACCCGTGCCCGCCCAATATTCGAGTCTTATTTGTGTCTTGATGCTGATTTGCGATGCTTTTTCGACTCAGACTTTT